GAAACGATTCTGACACAACCTAGATTTCCTTTTTTTATAAACCTAATTGGATCTTGAACGGACGTAGGAACATCTTATAGTTAGTATTTCATGATCAGTGAAACTTGGCAGGTTTCTATCATTCCCACAATGTCATGGATGTTCGTAAATATGAGATCTATTAAAGTTTTGGATGTATCGGTACATCTGGTGGCTGCACGAACTATCTGTTTAAATCCAGCCGCTTCTGATGTGTGTGTGTAAGTTTATGATGAAGTCTCCAACTACCACAGAATTATTTTGGCTCAGATGCTTTTGATCTAATAGAACGTTTTCAAGCATCTTTAAAAGAAGAAAACAAGTTCTGCCCAGCAGTCTGTCCTTTTAGTGGAATATACTTTAAAAGATCTTATTTAATCGTAAAAATCATCCTGACGAACACGGCCATCTGAGAGGTGTCAACGGCATCTGTGGATTCATCCAGCTTCGGTGAAAAATAAGCTCAGTTATCGAAGTCATTTCTTAACTGTAAAACTATGTCGTTTCTCATTACTTCTACTCGTCTCATCACTGTATTAGTAGAAAGTTGCATACTGCAATTGATTAATTGTTTCAGTTTTCCGTTCTGGTTGCAGACAGATTTTTCAAAATTCGAATGTACAGTTTTATAATGCTGCTCGATATTCCCTTTTTTAGCAACGGAAACAGATGTATTACATTACAAACATACATTTTTATCTTCAACTTCTGTAAGGAAATATTGTTCTTCCCATTCCGAATGGAAATGGTATGACTTCATGTTCTTACTACTGCTCATAATGTCTTTAATTGCAGGCCAACTCTAACCCAACCGCTGGACTTTGTGCCGTTCGGATTTAAACTGAGCGCACTGTCGCCGCACCTTGCGTATTTATTAGGTTCAAGGTGATCGAGATCGTTCTCGAACAGATCGCTCGCCGCAGGGTTGCCGCTGTTTGTGTTTACTCTGGGAATTTGCAAAATTTACGGAAGCTTCTACGATTTTTACACCATTTTAAAACATGTCGTGAGCCACCAGAGTTGCTCGCGATCGACGGGTTGACGACCAGTACCTTAGACTATAGACTAGCCAGTTTCCAGAAAAACCAAAACAACTCTGTTTGATCCTCCTTTAAACCGGCAATCTAACAATAATTTATGTTAGATTAAATGTGATTTACAATCGAGAGCGTAGCGAGTCGGGTCGATCCATCATCGGTGCCATCGATATCAGAAATCCCTGCTTTATCTTGCTGCTTTCATCGAACCGCTATCAGCGCTCCGTTTCTACACACACGTCTGCTCGCTAATCCGTTCGCATACAACGGTGCGGCTCAAACTGCCGGTGGAAGCGGAGCAGCTGGATTTGGATCTATAAAGATAACGGCGGTTTTCAGTGGAAATGCCTGGGCGGGTTTGCTTTTCATGCACCAGATTGCACAAATCCTCTTTAACTATCGAAACAGGAGAAATATTTCGATTAGATCAAGTCACGATCGAAAAATGGATTTTCAACACGCTTTTATTAGCTTGGCCTGTATGTATGTATACTAAGTGACATATAAATCCGAACACCCAGTTTAAATGGTTTTATTTTAATAAAATTTTGTATAAGTACTTAATGAAGCATAATAAGTAAATGATAAAAATTTCAAAATGATTGCACTGCTTTAAAGCCCTTTGACCTTTAATAATGTGTAGATGCACCCTGATGTGCTACGCATTCTCCAACGCGCCTAGACATGCTTCTGATCAGGTGGTCAATGTCCTCCTGTGGTATCTCATTCCAGGCAACCACCAACTCCTCTCGAAGTGCTTCTAGAGTCTGAGGAGGACGTTGCAAATTGAGCAATCTCCTACCCATCATATCCCACACGTGCTCAATTGGGGATAAGTCGGGAGATCTTGGGGGCCATGGTAACAATGTGACATTATTATGTTGAAAGAAGTCTATTGCGACTCTTGCAACATGTGGTCGGGCATTATCTTGTTGGAAAGTTGGATCTGCCAGGGTGTCAAGATAAGGTAAAAGATGGGGTTCTAGAACTTCGTGGATATAACGCTGCGCGTTCATGTTACCTCTGATGAAGATCAAAGGTGACCTGGAACCATAAGCTATAGCACCCCAAACCATAACTCCAACAGTGTGATGAACATGTCTTTCAACAAAAAACTGTGGATTCCTCCTTTCACCACGTCGCCTTCTAACCACGACCATTGTGCATGCCTAAACAAAATCGAGACTCGTCACCAAAGACAATACTGTTCCATTCCTGATACCAGAGTGACCGTTGTCTGCACCACTCAAGGCGATTACGTCGGTGTTCTCGAGTTAAAGGGAGGACCCCGTGTGGCCGGTATGAAAACAAGCCAAAACTTCTCATTCGTCGGTTAAACACTTCGCATGCCAATAGGTCTTCCGTGTTCTGCAAACCATTCATTTGCAATGGACCTGGTAGTGGAGAAACATTCCCTTAAGGCCAATAATCTTAGGCGGCGATCTTCACGGTCTGTTGTTCTACGGCGGCGTCCAGTGCCCCTTGCTCTTTGCGTACGGCCTTCTCGAAGCCATGCCTGACAACACCTAACCACAGTGTCTACACTTATTTGCACTCTAACTGCAATTGCCCGAATAGAAAGTCCAGCTTCCCGAAGTCCCACTATATGGCCCCTATCAAACTCACTAAGTTGACGAAATCGTACAGGTCTCCGTACTCTAGGCATCGTAACGGATCGTAAAGGATGTCAAGAACCAAAATCCGCCAACGTTGATTCTTTACTGCGGCTGAAATATTCATTTTTAGAGCGTTAGTGAATTAAAAAAAAGCAGTATAAAAACCGGAATGTCCAACTGATAAGGCTGAAAATTTTTTCAATTGTTATTTACAGTAAGATAAATACATTCGCCAACTTTTATTAAAATAAAACCATTTAAACTGGGTGTTCGGATTTATATGTCACTTAGTATATGTAAAGGAATCTTTGAGCATAATTTTCACCAATTTTCAGAAGTTTGATTAATTCGAAACTTTTTCAAAGTAGTGCATTCTCACCTTGTTCATTGCGAATGTTGCCATTAATCCTTAGTTGGGCTTCTACCGTCCACAAAATGTAAGGTTGTACAGTCGATCATGCAGTTATTTACCTAGGCCCGCGATTGTTTGCTGCTGGACAAGCTTATGTAGCACTTAGTCGTGTAAGATCTTTAGACGGTATTCGGATTGAAGAACTTGATTGCTCTAAGTGAACAGGAAAAACAGCATGCAACAGTGAAACTTTTAATGAAATGATTAGATTACGAAAAGGTTCGTAAGACATTTCAATATCACATGTCCACAAAAAACTAATTGATAAATCGAACTAAGAAATGAAAAGTAAATAATAGTTTAAAAAAACTAAAAAAAAAACGCGCTTTTATAGCTAACCGACCTAACAAGTAGAAAACAATTTTTAATTACAAAGAGTTTATATTATAATGGTAGATGGTCGAACCATCAAGTTATTTCGAATTACGGGCGCATTATATATCGAACTTATATCATTTATTTTCCCGTTGTTACCGAGATCATAAGCGTTTTAATGATAGAACGTTTTTGACTGATACTAAAGGCGATATCGAATCTTGACAATATTATATGTATTAGATTTTATCATCAATATTGTCAACCGACTTTAGTCGAATTGTTATTAAGTGTGTGGTGAACTATTTTGCCGTGACTGAGTGACTGGTACTTTACTGAAAAAACGGAATCTGTATAATCCGGTATTCTATACAATACCTAGGTAATGTATAGAATACCTAAAACGTGTACGTAATGTATCTAATATTACTTGTTTTTTACTTTGCCTAGGTATTCTATACAATACCGAATGCGTTGCCGGTAATGTATGTAAAAGACGAGACCAACGAACGGATTATGGCAATATCAGCTGCAAAACAGCTACAAGGCGGCTACAAAACTAAACTGAAGGAGCGTGAATGGTGGTTCTCCGCAATGCCTTCCCAAGCTAAAGGTTAGAATCCCATAAGAAAATGGACGGGGTAGCACCCAAACCAAAACAACTAAGCGTAAGGTACCAAATGAGAGGGGTACTACTCCATAAACTGATGTTTGCGGGTCTAATATTACAGAATCTGGAAGTTACGCCCACACCACAATCTCCGCAGAAAAGTTAAAAAAATGGTAATTTTGGTAAAGTTGATCTTAAATAATATAACTCGTTTCATTTGCCCGTTTACACATTGCCTGTGGAACAGCAGGTACTCTATACAATCCTTAGGAATTGTATTCAATACCTCGGTAAAGTATGTAATAGATAATAATATTGATAATATTCCATATATTGCCTGGACAGGCCAGGTATTCTATACATTGCCTAGGTTTTGTATATAACACCTGAATTGTACAGATTACCGATAACATACATATACATTTTTAGACAGAATAAAGTTAATCATCCTGAAATCAAGTTATGTTACCAAGGACGCCAAAGACCGAAATAGATAAATCTATCGCACTTCGATTCCCATGTTCGCCTAGGCTAATAGGCGCCAGCGCCTATCAAAGCACAAGACCGCTCATCCGGCTGTTTGTCAACAGCATGCCGGCGGCCCCCCGTAACTTAGGTCACTGGTCAAACAATTAATTAAATTGGGGGCTAATAGAGGGGTCGCCGGCAACGACTGCTAGCTGCATGACTACCGGTTCGGAAATGACGTCATCATTGCAACACTAATTCTCGCGACCACTTGTGGGGTCCCGTTATTATCGGACACGCGATCTTCCGGCTAGGAAGACCAGACTAGAGATCTTTATTCGGCAACATTATTTGTGTAGTAAGAGCGCAAAGTACTTTGCCGCTTAAAGAGACGCGAAACGGCGATGCTATGCACTTTTTGACAAATGGGATACACTACCGTTCAAAAAAAACAAGGAGTCTGATGGAAGTCAATAAAGAAAGGTACGAAACATTTATTTTCTTAATTATTAACAACGTACAACTATTTATAATCAACGGTGCATGATTCTAATGGCCTCTCGTTAGGCGGACGGCGGACAACAAACTTCAAATTTCCATTCATCCCTCCACAGGACCTTCTTCCAGTCAGCAACTGTCCAATTTTGATGTTGTTTGGCACAATTCAGTACATTTTTTTCTGTTAGTAATTATGAGATCCCAATAACAGTGTGAGCGACATTTTGATTTCAACACCCTCTCAGTGATGCTTGATTTCCATGGTGATGGTTTTCAATAAATAAAGAAAAATGAATACGTACTGAATGTTTTTTTTGTTTATGATGTTTTTGAATGGAAATATGCAGGTGCTCAAATACTTTTGAGCGGTAGTGTATTTTCCAAGATTTTTATTGCGAAGTTAGTATGAGGGACACCAAAGAGGAATCTACCTAGTCATGAAAAAAATCATTGAGACGCACATGCAAAATGTGTCACGTAATATATACTAAGTGACATATAAATCCGAACACCCAGTTTAAATGATTTTATTTTAATAAAATTTTGAATAAGTACTTAATGAAGCATAATAAGTAAATGATAAAAATTTCAAAATGATTGCACTGCCTTAAAGCCCTTTGACCTTTAATAATGTGTGGATGCATCCTGATGTGCTACGCATTCTCCAACGCGCCTAGGCATGCTTCTGATCAGGTGGTCAATGTCCTCCTGTGGTATTTCATTCCAGGCAACCACCAACTCCTCTCGAAGTGCTTCTAGAGTCTGAGGAGGACGTTGCAATTTGAGCAATCTCCTACCCATCATATCCCACACGTGCTCAATTGGGGATAAGTCGGGAGATCTTGGTGGCCATGGTAACAATGTGACATCATTATGTTGAAAGAAGTCTATTGTGACTCTTGCAACATGTGGTCGGGCATTATCTTGTTGGAAAGTTGGATCTGCCAGGGTTTCAAGATAAGGTAAAAGATGGGATTCTAGAACTTCGTGGATATAACGCTGCGCGTTCATGTTACCTCTGATGAAGATTAAAGGTGACCTGGAACCATAAGCTATAGCACCCCAAACCATAACTCCAACAGTGTGATGAACATGTCTTTCAACAAAAAACTGTGGATTGCTCCTTTTACCACGTCGCCTTCTAACCCTGGCACGACCTTCGTGCATGCCTAAACAAAATCGAGACTCGTCACTAAAGACAATACTGTTCCATTCCTGATCCCAGAGTGAACGTTGTCTGCACCACGCAAGTCGATTACGTCGGTGTTCGCGAGTTAAAGGGAGGACCCAGTGTGGCCGGTTTGAAAACAAGCCAAAACTTCTAATTCGTCGGTAAACACGCATGCCAATAGGTCTTCCGTGTTCTGCAAACCATTCATTTGCAATGGACCTGGTAGTGGAGAAACGGTCCATTAAGGCCAATAATCTTAGGCGGCGATCTTCACGGTCTGTTGTTCTATGGCGGCGTCCAGTGCCCCTTGCTCTTTGCGTACGGCCTTCTCGAAGCCATGCCTGACAACACCTAACCACAGTGTCTACACTTCTTTGCACTCTAACTGCAATTGCCCGAAAAGAAAGTCCAGCTTCCCGAAGTCCCACTATACGGCCCCTAACAAACTCACTAAGTTGACGAAATCGTAAATGTCTCCGTACTCTAGGCATCGTAACCGATCGTAAAGGATGTCAAGAACCAAAATCCGCCAACGTTGATTCTTTACTGCGGCTGAAATAATCATTTTTAGAGCGTTAGTGAATTAAAAAAAAGCAGTATAAAAACCGGAATGTCCAACTGATAAGGCTGAAAATTTTTTCACTTGTTATTTACAGTAAGTTAAATACATTCACCAACTTTTATTAAAATAAAACCATTTAAACTGGGTGTTCGGATTTATATGTCACTTAGTATATACTTGCAAAATTTAAGTTAATGTTGATCATCAGTAGCCAATTTATAAAGTTGTGAGGAAACTTAAAATTAGGGCACCGCAGATTCATAAAAGGTCTGAAACAGTCGAAAACAATACTTGAACCTTTTTTTGAGGTCGAGGGCCTTTTAACTTTGATTTTTTCAGCTTGCCTGAATTTTTATTGTATTCAGACTCTTTCAAAATTTTTATTTAACGATCCCTATTTGTTGTCCATCCAAATCTTAACTTTGGTTTTATTACCTTTTTTACCTTTTATTACCACTTTGTATTTCATATTTGTTTTATTTATATATTGTTTGTTTTTCATTTTTCTTAATATCATCAATACATTACTATTATTATCCCAGTAAGGTGAATTTTAAGATACATAAACTTTTCGTGTTTTTTTTTATTTACTTCTTGCTCTATAAAAATTGCCACATTTGTCTGAATGAGCCTGTATGATGAATAAACACGCTGATCAGTGGATTACTTAAAATACGCACACCGATGAAAGCCTCAACCTTATCTGAAGCAGCTGAAAAAATCTAAATCCCTGCACAATAGTTCATAAATCAAACATTATCATTAAAAAATAAAGAACCAGATTACCAACGATACAGAGATATATGATAGTGATGCGGTATATTACTTTCATCGAGTTTTATCCTTTAATCTGATTTGCAATAATTGCAACAGATCGGTCTTGAATACAAGGTGTTCCAAAAAACAAAAATCGAATAATCTGTGACATTAACAACTGGGCTTCCATGTGTTGTCCCATGAACTACGCTGTACAAGATTAGATAAGATTACATAAAAGGGGTTGGCTTGCTAGCTTCAGTGCCACTGCGACTAATATACAGGGTAACTGCGAAAGGTTGGAAAATCTCGAAACTGGAGGATTTTGTATTTTTCCTTGTTGCTTGAGAAGTATTTCAGATTTTGGCATTAAACTCGGTATAGGTAGGTTTTCTAGTACAAGAAACAAGAATCCGTTATGTTTTTATGGCCAAACTTCTAGAGGGCGCCACTTACAGCACTACTTCGATAAATAACTTATCATAACTTTTTTGTGCTACCCTGTATACAACAACTGACTAAAAAATCTTATATTCTCGCATTTCCACAACAAAAAAGGTTTATTTGTTAGAAGTCTCTAAAGTTAATAGTTTTCGAGATATTTGTAAAGGTTCCGATGCATTATTTGTACCATGGTAATAAAACATTTTTATAACATAAAAATAAAGTTGCTTTGGATATCTGGGTAGCGATGATATGGTTTCTAATGCTTGTCATAATACTGCTTTAAACTCCATAAATAATTTTAAGTTGACAACAACTTAAACATCATGGAGTACGAAGATTGTACGCTGAGTAGGTTACCGATTGGGTATTTCCATACCAGATAAGAAGAAAAAAAGTTTGAATCATTTGTTAAGGAGTATTTTGGTGACGATTGTCGAAACAGGGAAGACCTTTTGTGGTAAAAAAAATAATAGACAGTAACGGAGTAGAAAACGTGGATATTTCGGAAAATAATGAAACCCAAGAAGATGGAGACAAGCTATGCGATTGCCTGTACGAAGAAGATATAACGTAACTGGTTCAGTTAATATGAAGGCCACGATATGTGAAAAAAAGTAATATCACAAATGCCGACCGAAGAGCGTTAAGAAGAATAATCGTGAAAAACAGGCGTGCCAATTATTTACAATTAAGTGCTCTGTGGAGTGACGCTGTTGGAAGGAGAATTTCGAGGTCCACAACTCATAGAGAGGCCCACAAACTGGGATTTACGTACAAGGTAAGTTTTTTTATAAAAAAAGTGAAAGCAAACCCTAAAGTTGCACAACTTATTTATAGGCCAAAGAAAAGCCACTATTAACTCCACTGCAAAAGAAAAATCGGCTTAGATGGGCTAAAGAACATAGAGAATGGACACCTCAACAATGGTGTGGAATACAATGGAGTGATGAGGCCCGATTCGAAGTTTGTGTTGGTGACAGTCGCCGCAGAGTTATTCACAAAAAAATGATGCGTTCCATGTTGACTGTCAGAAGAGAAAACTGAAATTTCCAGTATCCATTATGGTCTGGGGCAGTATGTCATCAAAAGGAGTAGGAAAACTTCATTTTATTGATGGAAATGTGGATACAAACAAATATTTGGCAATTTTAGAAGAATCGCTTTTACCATTCATGGAATAATGTTTGACATCCGGCCAAGATTTTGTGTTACAGCAAGATGGTGCAGCGTGCCATACCTCAAAAAGGGCTATAAAATGGATGGAAGAAAATAATGTACCACTTTTGAAATGGGTTTCTAGCAGTCCAGATCTGTCACCTATTGAAGCTTTGTGGCACGAGATGAAAAAGGTTCTACGACAACATCCTGCTCGTACAATCACCGAACTGAGACAAAAGCTTCAAGAAATATGGGATTGTTTTACACCAAATTTTTGCCAAAACTTGGTTAACCCTACGCCCCAAAAAATTTCAGCCGTTATAAAAAATAAAGGTGATGTTACCCAATGGTAATCTTTCAATTGTTGCTTTGTTAACTTCGCCCATTTATTATTATTGTTTATTTGTTCAGATGTTCTGTTAGTTATAGGTCTAAGTGATTTCAAATATGTATTTTTTACGACTAGAGTGTATCTAAAATGTTTTTGAGAAAATAAATTGTTTTAGAAGTAAATAGTTTCATCATGTTTAGTTTATAAAGTCATATTTTGGTACAAATCTTGAAGTGGTAACGGGCTTGTATTGTTTGTTATTTTTGTAAAGATGACTTAATGTTTTGTTTATTTAAAGAAAAATAAGTCAATTTTTTCGCTCACAGTATGCCATCTTGTGTGCAAAACTGGAATATCCAATGTTTTTTTGTTAATAATCGCCGAGTTGTTTACTTTTTTTACAAAAAAATATACGTCAATCAGTTGGTCAACCCCATTAAATTGAAACTGTTTTCTCAAAATAACACAATTTTTTAAAATAAAAATGTAGGGTGTTCTTTCACCGTCTGAAAAAACTATAAAAGTGGATATATCCGGATTTGCACGCGAGCTCCTCAGTTGGTCTACTTCGTGTACCTCTACTTCCTTCTATCCGCACACGACACACACTCATTACCGTCATTGCAGTACAATTAACACGGCGGCCAATTCCGGATAGGAGAAAGCAACATCGTCGCTAACACGGTGACAATATAGCCATTATGTTGGCAAACAAACAAGTTGAAATTATTTTTTCTGGGTGTAACATTTCTTATGGGTATGGATCTATTGCGATCCAACTTATACAGTGTCTGAAGCTCTGTGTCCAGCCTTGTTCCTTTAACCAGGCTCCATAGCCTTGACACAGGGCTTTCAATGCAAAGAATCAACTTACCATTTGATTTATCTTTTTCACTATACTCAGGTATAGGCACCATATACCTTGGACCAGTAGGTGTGATCGGTGCTCCCCAAAGGTTTCTGCAATAGTTGGAGAAGCTAGTTGGCGATAGAAATTGGTGGAGTGGAGAGGTGGCCCTTTCAGAAGCTGTAACAAAAAATGACATCAAGATGATTCACGCATTTCTGGACAAATCGACTTCTGACTTCTGACAATGCAGCATATACATACAAGGTGATCTTTAATGACATGCTAATATTTAAGAAGGCGATTCCTAGAACCGTTTTAGGGGAAAAAGTATATGTATACTTTATCTGAAGTCACTTGAAACACTGTGAAATACCGGATGCGTTTTATATATCTATATTTAACACGCTCTGTTGCTGCAAAAATCGCCAAATTTCGCAGCAAATATCCCCCGTATAACATCAAAGGCAGTTTCACCGGTCCACGTGGAGTAAAGCACGCCTATGCGTGGACATAGCCAATGAGAAAGCGTGTATTTCAGAGCTCCGAACAAGTGCAGGTGGCTACTGAAAATTGAAACAGTTTAGCCAGTGCCGTGTAGCGGTGAATAAACGTGTTTTCTTTAGTCTGTCCGTGTTTTTTCATAGATTTTATTAGTTTGTGTGTTTTTGACTTTTGAATACTCAGTTTACTTGTTGATTTAATTGTTGTGTTGATTGTTCTTGTGTGTCCTAAATATGGCTCTTTGGAGACCTTGGGAAAATGCTCCAAGCCACGAGGAGATGGTTGATGAACCTGCGCAGGCAGAATTCTTTCATAAAGATTTAGAGGAACAGACCCAAAGAGTAATCCTAAATATGTATGATTGTCTGAAGAACGAAAATCCAGATTCCTCGCAAAATCAAATTTTAAACAGAATTTGTATCCTGACAAAAATCAGTCGGTCTACCATTTATCGGGTTATAAAACGGGGAGATGTAGTTAACCATTCCTTCCACAGAAAGCGCATAGGGCAAAAATTAAAAAGAATAGACGTGGGTTTTCAGGAAGATATTCCTCGTATAATATACGGATTTTATAAAGAAAATTTGGTGCCCACGTTGGAAATGATACGGGATAAATTAAAAGATTATCCTGAAGATTTTTATAATTACAAATGCTTAGACTCACTGCACTGTATTGTAAAACTGTGTGGTTTTCAATACAAAAAATTAGATAAAAGAATGGTGATTATGGAGCCGTCTCGAATCGTTGAATTGCGCCAAGAATTTTTGCACAAAGTTAAAATCTATAGAGAGCAGAAAAGAAATCGGATTTACCTGGATGAAACGTGGTATGATACCCATGATGTTGTGCAGTACGGCTGGGTTGACGACAGCAACAAGTGCATTTTAAATGCACCATGCAACCGTGGAAAACGAATCATTATTCTCCATGCTGGCAAGGAAAATGAATTTATACCTAATGCCTTCCTGTTATCTGCCAAAAATATCAAAGAATCATGTGCCGACTATCATGAGGACATGACCTCCGACTTATTTGAAAAGTGGATAGAGCAGCAGTTAATACCAAACATTTCCCCAAATTCAGTGATTATTATAGACAATGCGCCATACCATTCCCGACAGAAAAACAAAATTCCGAATGCAGGCACAAAAAACAAGACATTATTGATTTTATGAAGGATAAGGGAATGGAAATACCACAAAAATCAACCAAAGCCATATTATTGGATCTTATTAAAAGATAAAAATTTGAAAAAGAGTATGTTGTTGACAATCTTCTTCAGCAAAATGACCATGAAGTATTACGTCTACCTCCCTATTACTGCATTTTTAACCCGATTGAGTTGGTCTGGGCTGCTTTAAAAAAAAAAGTAAGAAAACATAATCAGACCCCTCAATTAAGTGAATCGCTATTGGCCACAATAAGAGATGCAGTATCTCATATTGCTGCCACAGACCTATGGAAGCAGTGTTCTAGGCATATTATTGAAAAAGAAAATGAATATTGTGTTTTGCCTCCTGTAAATCCCGTTGTAATTCCTCTACAAGATGACTCTAGCGACAGCTCCGAAGGCGAGGATGATATATAAATACCTATAATGTAAGTCTTTATATACCTTTTTATATACCTACCTGCTATGTAAATATTTGCCTATGTCAAACGTTGGAATTCTGTAATTTTTCCATTTCTTAACTTTCAGTCAACATAAATTAAACTCCCAATATAAGTATTTTTTATCCCAAATCAAAAAAATAAGAAGATAGTAAAATCCATTTATTGTGATATAAAAACATTATTATTATCGTTCTAAATAAATGACCGCACGCCTATGATACGCCATGAAATTACAAAGGACGCGCCGACCAAAGGTTTTGCCCTGAAAAGGCCAATGAAAGGCAAGCATTTTGAGACGACAGAGGGGATCCAAGCAGCATGCACCGCGGCTCTCAAGGCCTTCCGTGACGCCTTCAATGCTTGGAAATCGCGCTGGCAGCGCTGCATCGACGCAGAAGGAGCCTATTTTGAAAGTTTTTAAAGAATTGGAACGATTGGCTCAAGAAAAATTTTTAAATCGACTCAGTCCTATTACTTTCCGGACAAACCCTGTACTTAATTTTTACGGTTCTACTAAGAAGGGATGAGGGCTAAAAATGTGAGTTTCTTGGACTCGTTGCTCTCAAATATCAAGCTCTACTTGCATGCAATTTCTTGTCATGAAATACATTGTTTTGTTTGACCCATGACTTGACAGGTCAAGCGAATAAATTCAATAATCTTAAAAGTACGAATATCGGAAATGACAAATTACGCTGGGCAATCGTCTTCGCTTGCATGATTTGTTAGTACAATTACAATTTAAGATGACGCATCTCAGGCGCCACCGTAATCGCACTGATTTATATGCTGTTTCCTTTTTATTGTTAAATTGCGGACGAAGACTAAATGACGGCCTCAACAAGACATCGGATAAACTTATTGTAAACATTACATTACAGCCGTATTTCATAAGGCATGCGGTAATATGTACGATTCTATATCAAACAATGGATAGGTTCGACATGAAATTGAGTTTTTGAAAAATTTATTAGACCGTATATTTTTTAGTTGCAAGTGAACTCACGTTTAGTAGAAATAGTTTATTGACATTTTACACAAAGTGTACTTATGCAAGTAAAAAATTACATACATATCCAAACTGTAATACAAAGGGCACTATAAAAGTTTTGCAATATGACTTGACAAACGGACGCAGGAGGCTGCATGTTACAGCATGTTAAGATATGTCGATGAGTGCATAGTAGCCACCAGCAGCACAGCACGTCTGATGATTTAGTTGTTCATTCGTATTGACAAAAATACGTTTTCTCATTCTTTGTTGTCGAATAAGAAGTTTTCCCACAAAAATTGGTGTACCCATTTTATGCGTCCATGTTTTGAATACCCCTGGAAGAACTTGCAGCAATAAAACCAAAATTTACAATTATTTCGCAAACCAGGGGTATTTTTATCTAATATGATTAGACTATATAGAGATATGTGATATTAAATATTTGAAGTGTTTAGATAAATCACCCTGTAAGACTGAATTCAAAACTTTTTTATTTAGAAATATGGAAATTCCTTGGTCTATATTATCTACCATTTCATTATGTCCATTCAAGTACGGAATACCCCCTAGAAGGTAGGCTAAGAAAATATATCGAGGAAAAGAACGGGGTGGCGGAGTGCCGCAGGGATCCGTCGTTGGGCCGTTGCTGTGGAACTTGTTATAAACACTACTTAGTTTCGCTTTTATGGGAAAAAAAATCATCTAGTTCCATGTGAATTGGCATTGGCACCCATGAAAAAATCATTCTATTAGTATTTGCTAATGTTTTTTCTGGTGTTATGGTATTATCATACATCTTCAAGGTATTACGTAAGCCCTATCGCCTGGCGGATTAAATATAGTCATTAAACGTTTTCTTTTATTCTCTTATAACTGGTGAGCAACCGAGGCATAAATACTCGTATGTACGTAATATTTTTTGTGATGTCACAAAAACAGGTCTACAAACTTCAGTAACTTTAATTGCATACGTTGCGTTTCACATACCATTACGATTTCATTAAAAATAAATCTGAATGGCAACCACATGTCAACGCATGTCCGCAGAGGGAACAACTGCAAGAGATCCATATATATGTATACGCACTTCAGTGCAGTCATTTTAAGTAAATTGGTGTATCAGAAGAGCCACAACAGCGCAACCTGTAAATCAATGGGAATAGACAGCACTTCTTTGAGCCCAGAGGTATGTATAAAATTTTCTCTGACAACGCTGAATACCACCATATCATACGTGATCAGCGATCATGAAATTTTCCCATAAATTTTACAAGTACCTTTGAATGTTTTGTTGCCCGTTATCTGACAAATACAAATTAATGAGTGTAACAGATAGCAATTTTGATTGATACATTTGCAAGCGAAGTAAGGTGCAAACGTTAGTTGATTATTTTTTCCTTCTTATAGCACTGAATCTCATTTCCAATGCTGGTGATCGTTAAAGTATCCCCAGAAAGAATAGTTTTATGACGTCATTTTTCACTCATTTTCAACGACTTTGTCAAATAGACCCAAAGATTTATCAATATACAATTTTAAGCTCCATCTCATCTGCGGTGGTGTCGTCACTGACACACCGCTACAGGAGAAATATTTACATATTTTACAAATGATGGATTACACATACATATATTTTTCTGAATTGTATGATCCTTAACTGTACCACACATTCGCCTAGCCTATTTGTGTTACTGCTTTTAAGATGGTCATCTGAATGTTTCGTCTAGTAGATTGACTCAGTACTTATGACTTAATATTTCCATCGTTTAGGTAGTTGTAGATTTTGAAAAGCGATTCACAGGCGGTGGAACATAGTGTTGCAACGTTTGAGAGATTCCCGCTTATTTTCAGACATTGTTTGGAAGGGATGATAACTGTAGATTGGAAGCTGTAGATGGTAAATGTATCATGGTCTATCAGAGGTCTACGATTCAACATATCTAAACGATTTTACTCATCCCCAAATATACAAACGATCTACATACTTTTTTGTTATCGTGATCTACCTTAAGAGAAACAAACTACTTCTCGTTGCAAAAAAAATCTGTTTAATAATAGCGACTTC